TGGCCCAGGCCCAGGCTAAACCCGAACCCGCCAGCGGGCTGGGGCGCTGTGCACCGACACAACACGCAGACTGTCGTGAGCGTTGCTGGGCACGGCCCACTGCTTCAGATGCGCAGTGTTGGATGTCCAGAGCAGGGGCGGTGGGTATGCGACTAGCAAGGGGAAAGCTGAGCCGGAGTGTAACAGGAAAAGCAAATAGTCTATAAGCACCTAAAGACTGGGTAGTCAAAAGAGGCAGTTAAGAACCATTAGTAGGCAATAGAGCAGAGTACTAACACCAGATACTATACAGACAAACAGAACACAGGACTATGTAGCACTTTAAAGACTAACAAGATGGTTTATTAGGTGATGAGCTTTCGTGGGCCAGACCCCCTTCCTCAGATCAAATAGTGGAAGAAAATTGTTACAACCATATATACCAAAGGATACAATTAAAAAAATGAACACACATGAAAAGGACAAATCACACTGCAGAACAGAAGGGAGTTGGGGGGGAGGTAAATGTCTGTGAGCTAATGATATTAGAGGTGATAATTGGATAAGCTATCTTTGTAATGGGTAAGATAATTAGTCTTTATTCAAACTTAAGTGTAAAGCTCATCACCTAATAAACCATCTTGTTAGTCTTTAAAGTGCTACATAGTCCTGTTTTTTGTTTCAGCTACACCAGACACACATGGCTACATTTCTATCACTATATAGACAAAGAATCACTATCACCTTCATTGTTTGGTAGGTTGATAATGTCCATTATTTAATCCATTAGCATGAGTATCAAACTTGTGAATGAATTGTAGTTCCAGTCTTTCCTTGAGTATTTGGCTTGTGGAATTGGTCTGTAACAAAACAAGATCTGTTAATGAATGCCCAGGCAGATTGAATCTTCAATCAAACCCTAACGCACCCCGATCCTTCATTTACTTTTGGTTCTGGACATAGAATCATAGACCTGGAAGAGGCCTCAGGAAGTCATCAAGTCCAGCCCCCTGCCCAAGGCAGGATCAATCTCAACTAAATCAACCCAACCAGGGCATTGTCAAGCCGAGACAGCCAACACTCCAGTCATCTGAAGAAGTGGGCTTTGCCCACGAAAGCTCATGATACCATTTACGTGTTTTGTTAGTCTTTAAAGTGCTACCAGACTATTTGTTGTTTTTTAAGTTTGTCCATATAATGTACTTTCTAGAGCTGTCAATTGACCTGAGTTAACACCTGTGATTAAAGCAGGACAGGATTAACAGATTACATTTTTTAATGTGTTAACTGCAGGTGTTAATGCTGGGCTGCTGTCCCTTTCATGAGCAGAGCTAGGGATCAGCTGGGAACTCCAGCTGATTGCAACAGTAGAGCTAGGGATGTCCCTTTGAAGTGCCACTCTGGTGCTGGGGACTCCAGCTTATCCCGGGCTCCATGCAGCGCTGCCCCATTGAAATGCTGTTGTGGCATTTCAAAGGGTAGGCACATGCAATTAATCGTGATTAATTTTTTTAATCACTTGACAGCCCTAGTACTTCCCACAGCACAATATTTACAGATCAACAGTAATTCTGGTAGGCATCTGAGTGGTATAGTAACACCAATTTTTTAATGGTGTAATATTATTGTCCTATGTATACCAAGTGTCAAAACAGTAGACCTAACGAGCCGTTCTATGAACTTCTACTAGAAATCCTAGACTCATTCAATACTTTTCTTCCTTTTCTTCCTCACTGTTCATTCTGAGAGAAACTATTTTACATAAGTCTGTTCTCATACTTTTTAATTTTTTCTAAACTGGGCCTTGGATGGAAAATTGGAAAAAATCCTTCACTCTGAAAATATCTGAGGTGATTAAAGGGATTTCGATAAGTAGTTTTTGTAACATCTTTTTGAATAACAAGGCATTTTGTAAGTTTAATTTAGCACTGTTCTTGACCTTATTTCTAAAGGTCCATTTGTGCATCCCTCATGTTAAAATACATGACTCTTATTGATTGCTTGGAGGAAAGTAGTATTATGTTGAGCTGCCTTTTTTTTGGTTTTGTTTTGTTTTGTTTTTTGTTTTGTTTTGTTTTGGGTTTTTTTTTTTAATTTATTTCTCATGCACAAGGAATAGGAGACCTCAGAGTAGTTACGCTAGTGCCACTCACTGCCCCAGGATGGAATTGCACAAAGTGCATTTACGTGGAAGGTGTACACCAAATGTTTCTGTTCACTTGATATTGTTCACTGAAGGCTGGAATGTGAATGGAACTGTCATTTTTTTTCCATATAGAAAAGCAGCTTCTGTAATATCAAAGTATCCAAGCAAGATAAAAAGTGGAGCTGAAGCAAGGAAGCTGGTAAGCTGTAAAATAGCTAGTGGTTTAATCCAAGTTCCTATCATACACACTTGAATTTCATTGGTCTGTAAATATATTGGTACATTATAATACATAATATTATTGTGGTAATTGAGGAGACTGACATGCATTTTTCTTGCATTTTCTCAGAAGTTTACATTTAGTACAGGAATTGTAAATTTTGCTAAAAGCCCATTTTAAAATGTTACTGTATAACAGGTAAAATTAGAGTCTACTTCTGTTGCTCATAAGGTTACTGCTTCAAATTATGAACATTAGCAAATGTGACAGCTCTTCCATTTCCCAGGTATTGTCTTGTACATTTGTGTTTCTGCTTTGCAAGTTTCTGAACTTAGTTTTGTAGTTTTTCCATAATGCCTGTGGTACTAGCTATCCTGAAGATAAAATTTAGACTTTTTGGTTCCCTTTCCTATTCCAGGAAGGAGTAGGAGCTAAAATAGCTGAGAAGATAGATGAGTTTTTATCCACTGGAAAACTACGTAAGCTTGAAAAGGTGAATTTATTTGACTTCCTTCTCTGTGGGTATTTTTCTTTGTGCTTTTCAAGGCCTCCTGATAACTCCATGCAATTTCTTTACTGCTTTTGGAGAGACTGAGGCCAAGCAAGAGGGATATGCATGTAAAATACCAGGGAAGTACAAAGAGAAAAATGGGAATGTTAAAAACAAACCAACAAAAAAAAACCTGAAATAAAATGGTATGTTCCTGGAACCATTACGTGATATGATCACTAACAAAACATGTAGATGGTATCATGAGCTTTCGTGGGCACAGAAGTGGGCTGTGCCCATGAAAGCTCATGATACCATCTACATTATTTTGTTAGTCTGTACAGGATAAACTTAAAAAACAAGAAGTAGTCTGGTAGCACTGTATAGACTAACTCTGCTACCTCCTGAAGCTGATGATATGATCAGTTTGCCTGCTTGCCTGTTCTGCCCAACAAATTGATGAAGTGGATTCTCATAGAAGTTTTACATTTTTACTTTTTATTTTTTTGTCAGTGCCATTTACCTAAGTGTGGACAAACACATATAAAGTTGCTAGCACATGGCTTTTCCCAATGTACTGGCCTGCTGCACCCTCTCTTGTTCTTAATTTTGGCTCTCACACCTCTGCCAGTGGATGTAAAATCTGTGCAAGTCTCTGTATGTACTTAATTCTGACACGTAGAATTTATTTCAGTATTCAGATGGGTTCAGACAATAGCTTTAAATTAGGGATGTGAATGGTTAACCGATTAAAAATGGCACTTACCAGGAATTGCTTACCGGCTACTGTTAACCAGTGGGCTGTAGCAGCCCTCTGCCCACTACAGGCAGGCTCGGCCTGGCTGGAGTGGCCCTCCACCCACCTCATTTCATTAGTTAAACATAACATTTAACCAGTTGAATTTATATCCCTATTGTAAATATGCAGTTGTAAATCTGAATACTTGTCAGCCTATATGGAAAGACTTTTTTTTTCCCCCTGTCCGCTAAAAAAAGAAGTAGCTTACTTAAAGCCATAACATCCCCTTAAGCCACAAACACTCTTCTCTGGAAACCAAAGATGATTCTAGAGCCAAGCGCTTGTCACTGAAAACCATTTCTCCAGGTTCTGTAGATCATTCTAGGCAATCATGCCATAAGTCTGTGATGTGTAGGTAATAACAGATCAGATCCAAAAGACTACAGCAACTTTCCAGATCTGAGTTATTCTGTGACTTTTCAAGTGTATTTAGAGAACCATCTCTCTTCTTTAGATTCGGCAGGATGATACAAGCTCATCTATCAATTTCCTGACCCGAGTTAGTGGTATAGGGTAAGAATTTCTTTTGCATGATTCTATCCACTTGTAGAGTTATTAACAGCAGTGTAGAGATTGAACTGGCACCAGGACATCCAAAGTAAGCCATCAGGGATTCAAGATGGAGTCCAGGGGCAAATCTGCATAAAGAAGGTAGTGGAAGTCATGGATGTGGATGAGGACATCTGCTTATAACATGGAACAGAGGAGCTGCCAAAGTCTGAGCCTTCCAAAAGGAATCTGAAGGAGCCACTAGAGAGATTGGAGAAACTGGCTTAAGTGTGTTGTCTTCAGCCTTTCTATAGCAAACTTGTTAAGGTGGGTAATGTTGTTCTCTCACATGTGGAGAAACCAAGGCACAGAGAAGTTAAGTGACTTGTCCAAAGCCACCAGGCAAGTCAGTGCTAGCAGTCCCTTGACCCCTGTCCTCTTCCTCTCATTTCCTGGTCCGCTCAAGCAGTATATGCCAAGTTGAGGGAGAATGTGAGAATAAATGTAAGAAATGGCTTTGGACTATGTGCCCGGTAATAAACTCGGTGTAATCAGTTAGTAAATTCTGGTGTAATGTGCTATTCTTGGATATATTTTCTGCTAGAGAGGTTTCACTGTGTCAGTTTGGTTATGAGGTGCCCTGTCCCTTTGCAGCCCTTCTGCAGCTAGGAAGCTTGTGGATGAAGGGATAAAGACATTGGAAGGTGAGTATACCATAAACTCTGCTGATTTCAGAGTGTTTGATTAGAAGAATGTGAAAGGATTTACACTGCAGGGCTTAACTCGAAATTATGCAAATTGAGCTACATCAATTGCGTATCTTATTTCGCAATAGGAAGCATCTGTCTACACAGCACTTTTTTCGAAATAGAGCACTCTTCCTCCGACTTCTCTTATTCCTTGTACGATGAGGGTTACAGGAGTCAGAGTAAGAAGTCCTCCAGTTTGACGGTATTTAGTCACTATTTTGAAGTAACTGCTGCTATGTAGATGGAGACTAAGATATTTCAGAACAGTGCTAGTTATTTTGAAATAGTGTTGCAGTGTAGATGTACCCTAAGTGACAGCAGTTACACAGTTAAGGGATAGGCATACTGCGTTCCAAAGCTTTGGTCAGTGTAGTGAAGAAATTCATGAGATTTGTTCTCAGTTATATGATGGGACAATATCCAAGGAAAGGGAAAATGATTTGGCTTCTTGGTTTGAGGAAACGGACCTTTTCAGTTATTTCTTCTAGGGCAGGAAGCTCTGAAGAGTGTGGCTTCAGTACATGTGTGCTTATGCTGCAGCAGTGTGATTCCTCTGACAGTGTACGCATACCTTTCTTTTGGTTGAGTGCCTAAGACGCACTTAGATTCATAAGGCCAAAAGGGTTTGCTGTGGTCATCTTGTCTGATTGCCTTCATAGCACAAGCTATAGAGCTTTTCTGAAATAAATCCTGTTTGAACTAGAGTATGCATCAGTTAGAAAACCATACAGTTGTGATTTAAAAATTGCCAGTGATGGGAGAATCCACCTCATTGCAGGAGAAATACCAGCTAATTCGAGTTAGGGCTTTACTTCGGAATCCCGTTTCACTGCCGCGTATAGACGTGGGCAGTTACTTCGGGCTAGTCAATTTCTAAAAATGGCTACTGGACGGGAATATGCAAATCATGCGTGGGATATTTAAATCCCGCGCTTCATTTGCAATTTCGGTCGCCCTCATTAGCCTCCCTAGATTGATCTAGGGGGTTAGTGTAGACATATAATTAAAGTATGGGTAACTTAAATATTTTTGCCTGGTAATTTCCACCTTCAGTTTTAAAATTGTTCCACGACACATACCTGGGTTCCCTGGTCTATCAATTCATGATTTCATTCTGCTCCTCTCATCCTAATCCATTTGTTCCAATGTGCCTTAAACTTCTTCATTACTACTTATATCTTTACTGAAGGGTATGTAAAGAAGTTTATAGGAACATAGGTCTTAAGGTCACTAGATAAGATTCCTTCTTCCTCAGGTTATCCATTCCTTCTCTCCTGCCTGCCAGCAGGTTAGGGCACTCTCCCTTCCCCTCCGGCCCTTTTAATATCTCTGTGTCCATCACCAATGCGTCTGGTTCCATTTTCCAGTTTGTGGCTGTCTACATCAGACCCTTATAGGATTGTAGTGGCTTCTCCATCATTGGCAGTTCTTAAATCAAGATCAGATGTTTCTTTAAAAGATGTGATTTAATTCAAAAGGCATTATGTTGGGGACAGGGGAGCCAACAGCCTCCATGGGGCCCCTGGGCAAGGTCTGGGGGGGGGGGCGGCCAGGCAGACTTGGTTGGAGAAGTTCTATGAGCTGTTACACAGGAAGTCAGACTAGATCAGTGGTCTTCAGCCTTTTTAACCACAAGATCATTTTTTCAATTTAAATGCAATATAAGATCTACCTCAACCCCAAATACCCTTGCCCCACTTTCTTCCCACCTCTTCTCCAAGAACTCACCCTGCTCACTCCATCCCCTTCCTCTAAGCACCCCCACCTCTGAGCCCTCTCCCAGGAGCAGCACCTACTACCCCTTGTGCCAGCCCTGACTCTGAGCCAGTACCCCATACTCCCTCCTGTAACCCAACACACTGCCCCAGCCCAGAGCCTTCTCCTGCCCCCCAAACTCCTTTATAGAGCCTGAATACCCCTCCTGAACCCCTTGCCCCAGCCCAGTGAGTGTGGGGGATGGAGTAAGCAGGGCAAGGCTTTGGGAATATGACTCTCACATTGAAGGCTTTTTGACAAAGTGGTCCCCTTTAAAATAGTGAAACGTACGAATGTATTCAGAAACTGATTTTGATAACCAGCTCTGCTGACACTGTTCCCAAACCTGTTCAAGTTACCATTCTTGCTAAAGCCAACAGACTGAAACAAGTGTGTGGTTTCTAGGGCAAATTATTTGGGAGAGCTCTTAAACTGGAAACAGTCCAGGATTAGAGTTCCCCTCCTTTTTGAGCATCCTATTTTCTCTTCACATAAGATCACACCTTGTCAGTCAGTGTAGCCCTTGAACTGTGGTAACTTGCTCCAGAGGCCGCATTAGTAGGGATATTAGCTATCAGTTAATTGAATAGTCAACTAACTGCATGAATTCTTAGCATTCTGTGATTCTATTCTACAGTCCGCGGGGTGGGGCCAGCAGCCAGTGCAATCTGGCCCCACTCCTGGGGAGCCCCCGTCACTCCACACTGCTACCTCTGTATCATGGTAATTTCCACCTTCAGTTTTAAAATTGTTCCACGACACATACCTGGGTTCCCTGGTCTATCAATTCATGATTTCATTCTGCTCCTCTCATCCTAATCCATTTGTTCCAATGTGCCTTAAACTTCTTCATTACTACTTATATCTTTACTGAAGGGTATGTAAAGAAGTTTATAGGAACATAGGTCTTAAGGTCACTAGATAAGATTCCTTCTTCCTCAGGTTATCCATTCCTTCTCTCCTGCCTGCCAGCAGGTTAGGGCACTCTCCCTTCCCCTCCGGCCCTTTTAATATCTCTGTGTCCATCACCAATGCGTCTGGTTCCATTTTCCAGTTTGTGGCTGGGTCAATCAGACCCTTATAGGATTGTAGTGGCTTCTCCATCATTGGCAGTTCTTAAATCAAGATCAGATGTTTCTTTAAAAGATGTGATTTAATTCAAAAGGCATTATGTTGGGGACAGGGGAGCCAACAGCCTCCATGGGCCCCCTAGGCAAGGTCTGGGGGGGGGGGCGC